GTAATAAAAAAGGAGAACAAAGTTAAAGAGAGGGGGAAAATATAAAATTTTTAGGTTTTAAAAGCAAAGAAGTATGAGTCTTTGTACATGTGGAGGGGTCCTTGAAAACGGTACCGTGCTAGTATGTCACCGTCCGTCATTGATTCGAGCGGATTTCTTCTGTCTCGAAATATCCTCGGTGTAGGTAATTTTCTAGTTCTGTTTTGATTTTTTTCTTTCATTAATACAATGAATGCGGCGGCCATTTTTACCTCTAAGACTGTTACCATAGTAATCTTTGACTTACGACAGCCTCAGGGCACTCGTAAAGTTACGATAATTTTTTATCGTAAGATTATCGTAAGTATTTTTGTGAATAGCTCAAAGTCTTCAAAAAAATCTTACGACAATTTTACGTCTACGATTTATCGTAAGATTTTTTGTGAATAGATGTCCATATCTTTATCAAAAATAAACGGCCAAAAAACAGCGGAGGGCCATTTGGAACAATTAGGACCCCGAAAGCTTTACAGGCTATTAGATGTTTTATAGCGCGAACTACTAAGTGAATAGGGGGTACTAACCAATTGTTTTCATGTTCCCAGTTTTGGGTAAAACAGTCAATAGCTTCCGAGCCAGGATTCCAAAACTTTGAATTATATCGCCCCAACTTACAATTATTATAATTTGCAAATCTGTCAACAGTAAAAGTTCCGAACAAATTGTTAACGAATTCAAAAAATGTTGCAGTAACACCCCAATCATCGTGATCTATGATATTACTTAGAAAATCAGCTTTATCATTTTCTAGTCTGGGAATCCATTGTATGTCAATTGAAATTTTTTGTTCTACACAAATCTTGAAAATATTGTAAGCAAGAGATTGTAAATGATGTTTCATACTGCCAGACTGAACAATTTTTACACAGCTCTGATTATCAGTGAACCATTTTACTTCTTTATTCACTAAACTATCTTTAAATGAAGCTAAAGCTAATTCAATCGCTCGAAGCTCTCTCCAAGTAGAGCTCATACCCTTCTCAAACTCTTTCCACATTAAGTGAAAATTTTTTGAATCAACTTCAACAGTGTAAGCTCCTGACGCTAGACTACTGGCATCGGAGTAAATGATGACACTTTTTTTTGTCGGTATGTGTAAATACCTTGTTTTTTCTGAGTAGATACATTGTAACCAAAAATTACATTCATTTAGAACCTCGTTCTTGTGTGTAAATACAATAATATCGTCCCATGACTTTCTACATGCTATCTCTATAGAACAGAATCTGGTCATTATACTACATATGTTACCCATTACTGGTGACATTGACATAATCTTTCCGACCACTCTTGCCAACTCTCTGGCCGTCACTTTAGGAAAACTCTTCACTAGTTTCTGCAAACAAGCAACTGTGTCGTCAAGACGTCTTGTGGGCACTGAAATAGAAAATGACTTTGAATCCCAAGAAATTCCTAACCATTCTAAATTCTGGGTAGGGTAAAATACAGATTTTTCAAAATTAATAAGTAGCCCAAATTCTGACAAACTCTTTTGAATGAATTCAGAAACTGAAAAACATTCCTGTTTAGATGGGGCAAACACAAAACCGTCATCTAGGTAAAGTACTATTTTTATACCCCTCTTTCTCCAGAATTTAACAATAGGTCTTAGGCATTTTGTAAAAATGAATGGAGCGGATGACAAACCAAACGGGGAGCACGGTATAACAGTAATACTTGTCGTTCCATGAGAACCCGAGGTATGTCTGGAAACTTTCAGAAATATCTATATGATGACAGCCAGATTTGAGATCGAATTTTAGACAATAACAATCTTTTTCAAAATAATCTAGGGCTGTTTTCCAATCTTCAAACTTTATTTTCTCATATTTCACATAATTATTAAGTCGACTCAAATCTAGTATCAATCTCTTTTTCGACCTGTTTTCCGCGACGCTGAGGGGGCTTACAATGTATGGTCGTATGTAACTTCTACAACACAACCTGTCTTAATTAATTGGGATATTTCTGATGTGACAAAGTCAGCGTTAATTCTTGCAGATTTGTTATTTCGAAAAATCATAGACGGTGGAACGGAAATAAAAGGAATTTCATAACCAGAATGTATGACTTTCAAAATATAAGTAAAAGCCCCACTTTCTTCCCATTTACTGTAATGTCTTTTTAAACTGTGTTTTATGCTACTTTCTGTTTTGCTCTTTTGAATCTCTTCATGAACACAAGTCAAACAACCTGTATACTTACCATTGACTTTGAGTGGTCTTTCCCTTTGGGCAGTTGGACTTCCAGTGCCCTGTTGCAAAACAGTTGAAACAAACGTTGTACGGCATAGGCTGTCTCCTTGACTGCTTGTTTCTGCCCTGGCCGTAGAGAAATGGCTGTTGCTGCTGCTGTTGAAATGCAGGAAAGGGCTGAAAAGTACTAGAAACCCCAGGAAAAGCCAGTTGAGCTGGAGATCCCGCTGCTGCCGCTGGTGGTGTTTTTTGTGTCCCATAAGGCTGAAATCTCTTGTTTTGTTTCTGATGTCTAAGGGCCCTGTTTTCGGCGCTGCGAATCTTCTTTTCGTCATCAGAGTTGTCTGCGATCTTGTTACTCTGGTATTCATTGACGGTTTTCCAACCGGCCGGAGACGAATCAGCTATCCGTATATACTTCTGACGCGTTTTTAATTTTTTATTTAAGTCTGAAATAATTTTCAATGATTCAGAATCCTTCAAGTCAAAGGTTCTTGACTCCAGCTTCTCAAAGCCCTCTAACAATTCGGCATTAAATTCGAACTGAATTCGGTTACCTTCGGACTTTATCTTGTGCAGAGAATTTTCTTTGAGTTTCTTCGAAATAGACTCGGACTGTTCCGCTTTTAACTGCCCCGAGAATGTTTTGAATTGAGACTGTATTACTCCCGTGAAGAGTTTAACAATGTCCGAGATTTCTAATGAAGAAGTCCCTCCTGTGCTGTCTTTTGGTAATTTATCTGTATCTAAAGTCAGCTCATCGCCCGAATCGCCCATATTACGTGGAAATAGAGAGTGGAAAAAAGACGTGTTATCTGCACTGAAGAGAGCCTTCGAATGGCTATAGAACTTTCGGCGCTAACAGCGGTCAGTTAAAACCAGTGCAATGAATATTTAAATGTCACCTGACAAGGTGACCAGTATTGCAGCCAATAGATTACAGATATAGATAAACACGAACACGTTTTATTAAAACCTTTGATAAATACATATATAAAACCACACGATCGCACGTGTGAGTGTCGTTTTTTTTTTTTTTTTTTTGTTAAATTTTCTTTCGAACACTTTAATCTGCAATGGGAAATTATCTGCTCTTTATGAGTTAGAATACCTAAGGAGATTTTACAGTTTTGTACCTGGAACGTTAACGTTGCAGCCATTTTAAAGACAAACTTTATTTAGTACGTTGTATGTATGATTAAAACATTGCTGTGATGTCATTCCTTTGTTCTTGTAGTCTAAATATTTACCCGTGGCAGTCCGGTATTAGTGAGCAGTCTGATATTAATCGTAATATCAGACTGTTTCAGTACTGATATCCTTCAAAATTGGAATGATATTGAACAAAAGAAATTAAAAAGTGATTATTTACCAAATAGCAAAGTTAAATCTTACATGTACAATGATAATTTTGAAACACAATATTATATTTTGATCATTCAGAATTTTAAAATGAATGTTTAAATTTCCAGTTAAACCAAATATACTTAATATACATAGCAGGAAGGGAGAAATGTGACTGAAGAGACCAGGATTCAAACACAAGATCATACAATTAACAAACTTTAAACAATGATTTCATTTAGAATTAATTAAAAGTTAAAAAATTCACGTAACTAGGTTGAACACTATAATCAGAGGTAGTTTACTGCTATTAGAAGAGTTGTCTGGTAAACCTGTCATGTTAATCATATAGAAGAGTTCTACTTCTGGCTACATTATAAAATTATCCATTACACATGCAATCTTTTATAAAGTTATTCTCAATATAGAAGTTAAAATACCTCCGGCATCTACTGTGTTCGTTCCATTCAAAGCAGGGTACACATCTGCATTTTTTCCTTCCATTCACAAAATATCATTCACTTGATTATCTGTGTCTTATTAATCCATGCATTGCTTTAAAGTCTGTGCATGTTTAACTTATTAAGGAAATGTTCATCCCCACTCTTCATTCCAAACAATCATTGTCAAATTACTTCAAATACCTATATTGAAGTTGCTGATTAAAGAATACTGAGTAGTTTTCATTCAAGCCTTCATTCTTGATAGACTTGCTTCAATTGTGTCCATTGTTAAAATATCGGACTGTCCCGGGTTAATCAGCAAATTAAAGAGCAATGTTTTTAGTACGATATATGCCGAATACAATTCTGCATAAAATATTTTATTTGATCAAATAAACTCTGCGATATGACTACTTAAAGTAGTCATATCGCAGAGTTTATTTAATCAAATAAAATATGTCAGAAAGGACAATAGCATGCGCAGTGTTTGATATACAGAAGTTCAACTGTAATTCATTTGTTTTTTCTACTGAGTATGATGGAACAATCCTTTCTGAATTGAGTTTCCAAATAAACAGGAATACCAAAAAATTTCTGATGTAAGAATTAATCATCATTACGATTAACTACGCGTATCTCTAGAAAATCTCCTCATCACGTAGGCAACAGAATGCTTGATATCATGGAAGTTCAAAAACTGCATGCACTCTTCCGAGAAAATAAAAACGTCTTAAGCTTGTTAAGTGTTTACACGTCTCTTTCATAAAACTCGTTAAAAAGTCGGTCAGTATACTGCAGAATTTTGCATCTGCATATTCGATACATCTATAGCACCTACTTAAAATTCCAGAAGCTAGTGTAATCAAGAAGAGAGACGAGGTGATTTTTTTCCTCGCAAACATGACAGAAAAAGAGTCATTCCATGGTTCTTAATACATTGTTAACAAACCTGTTATAAAATAATGTTTTATAAGCAAAACTGGTGTATGTTTACTTTTATTATGGAACAATTAAAACAAATTACATGTAACTTGATTGAGTAGATCCTGACTCGGATGAGGTGTAAATTCCGTTTTTCTTCTCGTCTTGTTTTATTTCTAATTCGTACACAGAAACAGTGGTCCTTTTCGACATGAAAGCTGTTACACTGAAAAAAAAAATAATGTATTATTTTTTTTAATCAATTATATATATTTATGTATCGACTATGATAAATTTGGTATTGTGGTGTACCTATATGTTAAATTTTAGAAAATGAGAAAAAAAAAAAAGATGAGTTGATAAAAAAAATCAAAGATGTGTTATCTCTTCAAAAGTAAGGAAAAAAGTTCAAAATTTTTATATTTTACTGATTAAGTTTTTTTTTACTTTCTTACTGATTTCGCCCTAAATTTGTGACAGTAATACACAGTTACATGTATTTATAATAAAAAAGAAATAAGTACTCATTTTAACTACCTTTATTCATATAAGCATTTTTTCACTCAATATTATTCTACTAACCAGAGAATATTTCTTTAAAATTAAAAAAAAAAAAAAAATAAAAAAAAAAAATCGGACTTCTTTAAACTTGCAAATTTTTACCAGGTAAGTATGAATATATATAACTATGCCAAATTCTTTATCAGACTATTTTTAGGAAAGTTTTGAGCCAGAAAAAAAGTCTGATAATCTCTCATATTGTCAAAGTTAATTAACATAGGAACAATGCAACAAAGAATCAATAAATAAATAGATGAATAAGTATCGTATAAGCGGCATCCTTTTTTAATGAATGAATGAATTAATTTATTTATTTATTTATTTATTTATTTATTTATTTATTTATTTATTTAATGGGTGCACCTTTAAGTACCTACCTCAGCATTACCAGTGAAATCAGTGCACACGCAAACATGACAAAGTACACAGCTCCCTTATACAAATCCACGGTGTGGGAGTAAACTGTATTAAAGAGGGCGTTTCCTGCTAAATTACCCAGGATTTCTACCGCACTCAATCCGCCAAATAGCGAACCTGGGGAAAATATACAGTGCTTATCATTCATATGTTTTGTGTGTGATAAAATAATAATTAGAAAAGCGTTAAAAAGTACATTTTAAAGTTTACAGTATGATTAAAATTTGGCTTTCAGCATTTTAAAATTTAAGTAAGAAAATTGGAGCCAACCAAAAATGAATTCATTAGAGAAATTTTTGCGCTAGCTATAATTCTTTAAGAAATGGTTTTGAACTAGAAAAAAAAATCTTCTTATGTAATTACAATTTACAGAAACATTGACAGATTTTGTTCTTGCTTGTATTACTTAACTATCAATATTGTTGTTAATATTATTCTTCACTTACAAGTGGAACATATTATAAGCAGTATACCTCGCTAATAATCTAATTTTAAAATCACCTTGCTTGTGTTTAGAGGTCATTCTCGACATTATGGCGCGGATCATCGGGAACGGTAGAATTGCACCAAAGCCTACTATCGGAGCTGAAATGTTATCATTATGTACTTTGAAAAATAATGAAAATTTTCATTTTGCTAAAAACTCAATGAAAAGGGGCTCAAGAAATAAAGGCAAATGCAAAGTAATGTGGCGGAATAAAAGAAGGGGAAACTAACACGTGAAGATTTATAATTTGTTTCTATATTATCATTTATTCGATGTGAATGAATTTTCAAAAAAAGAGAGAGTTAATTCATTTTGGAGCATGCATAAACAAACAAATAAACAAACAAGGAAGGTACTGAAATTTTTGTCCCAGCCCCTCGGAGTAAGGTGAACCACACGTGCATGCGTGTGCGTTTATGCCAACCCAACCATGAAAAATATTTTGGAGTCCTAACATTTATGTACTGAGTTTAAAGCATTTCATACAAAATGGTACATTTAAAGCTGTTTCAATTATATCAGTTATTTCACTCGTTGCATGCGCACGCACGTGCATGCAGGTGCGAGAAAAATTACCTTCGTTCAGCATATCTACACAACATACCTATTAAGCCTAAAAAGGCTTCATCTCAATCGGATAGGTAAAGTTTCCAAGAACACTCGCGGACAAAAAAGTGCCGGAGAAGAAAAAAAAACCCAATTCTCCCAAACTTCGGGGAACATAATTGAGGGATGGATTTAAAAATTACCCGTTACACATGTGCAAGTAAATATGTACAGGTAATCTGGGTTTGGAGAGGTTATGCTTACAGCTAATGTGTTAACTGTTCTAACCCAGGTTATGGTGTAACTTTTAAATTTATACATGATTATAATTTAAAAAAAAAATAAATCTATCTAAAATATATGTTTTTGACAAAAAAGATCTTGCGACAGGACAACGCAGGTTATGGAATATAGGCTAATTTTTCAAACAATCAAATAATGCGTTACAATCTAAATTAAATCATTTAAAGATGTTCTTGAGAACGTTCCGCCTTTCTACAGTGCATTACTAAAATTTTTACTCGAATATCAGTAAAGTGATAAAATCTGTTGACATATACACCTTGTCCGAAATATCTGACGTTTTCCTGGCTTTTTTTTTACGATTTTGATATTTTACGTGCCAGGAAAACTATAGTAACTAATGTACACCCAATCTTTATATTTACAAATTTATCAAAAATAAAGTTTACAAAAGCAGTTATGATTTGAATAAAAATAATAATAATTCAAAAGAATGCCTACCTGTATACATCATGACGTCATTTCTAGCGAGTGCAGTGATCAAACAGTAGAAAACTGCCGAGGCGGATCCAAGTATTGCTACTCCTTCGTCCTTCATACACCTATGAAAAACCTTGATCATTGCCAAACACAAGATGCTCTGAAGAAAATTCTTGACGGTACCGTACCAACCAACTTTTACCGAACCCCAACAAAATGGTTGACTAATTTGATATAGGGTCAAAACGGAAGTATCGCCGGTCATAGTCAGAGTATAAAAACCAATTATTACAAGAAAGGTGACGTATTTCCATCGTGTTCCTTCGTCGTTCTTGGAAACATAAAAGGAAAAGGCATTTTTGGTGTACTTGAGGAGAAAAGAGAAATTATGTGAATTTTTATCCTTTTTTCGTTCTTGGGTCTCTGGTAAAATGAATAGGACCACAAGGTTTAAAAGACAAAATATGCAAGCGACAGTGAGCATGGGGTAGAAGTAGTGGGTAGCTTTGATGAAATATCCGGCGGTAACCTTGCCGAGTACCACTCCTACCCCTAAGCACATTTCAATCAGAGTAATGAATACTGATCGTTCCTTGTCATCCTTTGTAATATCTGCAATGTATGCAAACGAAGCCTGAAGGACAAAGAGGAAACCCCCAGCCAGGCCCTCGATTGCGCTCCCGATCAGAAGTAAATAAACATTAGTTTCCAGATAAATAAAGGTAGCCATGAGTCCTTTACTTAACAATTGAGCAGTGAAGGAAATGAGAAAACTAAACTTCCGACCAAGCTGATCACTGAGGGTTCCAAGAATTACAGAAGAAAACGCGGCCGGAAGTGAGGTCAGCAGTGACGTATAAATTGAAAATGACGCAGCTTGTTTTTGAATGACTGTACTCTCTTTGGATGTTGTCGACGAGTGGTTGGTATCGCATATAGATCCAGTCGATGACTCCAATTTACGGTGGGGATAAAGTGTTTTGGAGATGATGTACGGTGCATATAATGCGGTTACTGCTAAAGATAATGCCAATGCGAAACAGTGCAAAAGCACTATAGGTCCCACAATGAAATGAAGTCGCTTCCGCTTGACAGCGAGATTCGATTTTGATTCATATGTGCAATCTTTATTTTGTTGATCCATTTCTGCCTCTTATGGGTAGACTAGAAGTCCAGAGGAATGCTTTAAAAATATCCAATGCGTTAATGCACATTGTTAAGTATTGCAATTGGTAAATAACTATTTCTAATTGTAACGGAGACCGTTACAAATGTTCCCCAAACGCCCTCTACTCCCTATTGGTGCCTTATTCCCTATAAGCTTCATTAAATGTGGCAAAATCTTTGTATTATAGACCTTTATAACTGTGTCTAAATATTTTGTGAAAATATACTCATATAACAAATTAAGCATAAGACTAGTCTCATATTATGCTATAATAAAGAGCTACATTTTAGATTTCAAAGAATTTCACTGAAAACGTTGATAGTTACAGCAATGTAACTGAATATTAAGGAATCAGAATTCAGCACACATCATGCATGTCCTCGTATTTATTTCTGATAATTCAATAATGCAGGAACTTGTGTTCCGTTAAAAACTACGAAAGATATGAATACTTACAATCTTAGCCAATCAGATTTCAGGACGCGTGCTAGTGCGTATATTCTAGGTTTCTTAGATATATATATTATTGTGCCTTGTAATATATATCCATGTCATAAATTTCAAGTATTTTATTAAATATTAAGAGAGATGCAGTCTATCAAGTATCAGCCAATCAAATTCAAGCACACGTGCATGCATGTCCCAACATTCAATTTTGATACTAGCATTATGTAGGAACCCATTATTCCTACATATGTTCTAAATTTCACCCTATTTTGTTGAAAACTAATGAAGTTATAGCCATTTAAAGTTTCGACCAGTCAAATTGCAGCGAACGTATTTTCATGAATTTCCATATAATCGTATTGTAGAACCTTCTAAAATATATCTTAAATTTCAAAGTATTTTGTCCAAAACAAGGAAGATACTGAGTTTTATGTATCAGTCAATCAGAGCGAAGCACACATGCATGCGCATGAGTTCATGCTCATTTAACCATGTCATCTTGTCTATACTACAAATATATCTTTATGTTATGAGTTACAAGGCATTTCATCAAAAATATAAAAGTTACGGCCATATTTAGCATATCAGTCATTTCATTCATTGCACGCGCCGGCACGTGCATGCATGTGCGCGCAAAATGACCTTCGTTCCGCAAATTTACACAACATACCTATTAATCCTAAAAAGGTTTCACCTCAATCGGATGAGTATCAGTCGCGTACAAAAGAGTACTCAGGAAGAAGAAGAAATATACCAAGAAGAAGAAGAAAAATAGAGTAAAAACAATATGTTCCCAAACTACGTTTGGGGAACATAACAATTTCTAAGACTTCTCTGCAATAATGTATACATTCATAAACTGTTATCTTTATTGCATAGGGGTCAAGCAAATACAAATCAACACCGAAGACAAGAGAACAAAAAAAGGCCTTACACTGTACATGTAGGTGTAATTAAGGTTACCCGCATGAGTTACACCGACGTCACAGGTGCAAACAGCTGATATACGTTTAAACTCATCTGATGGATTCTGTATCTAGTGTATTCAGGCCCGTAGAACGCGGGGAGGGGGCATGAGGGGCCCGCCCCACCCACTTTTTTCTGAGTATAGTATATTGCTGTAGAAATTTTCCTTTAGATGCTTGCAAATTCCAGGACTTGGACAGTAAATTAGATTTTTTTTTGCTTGTCAGATTTTTGCGGACGTTGCCCCCCCCCCCCTGCTTTTGAACCGCTACTACGGGCCTGGTATTCAATGTTTGTGGTTTGTATATAAGTTGACTTGAGTTAGAGTGGGGAACAATTGTCTAACATGTTTCAAAGTTTATTCAAATTGAATTTTCACAAATAACATGAAGTGGAAATTTAAAAACAAAAGTTTCTTCCACAATAAAAATTTCGCCTTTCGCTATTTTCGTCCATGTCCCCTTAGAAAACGTAAGCCCAAACTACTGGGCGAAAATGCATTTTTAATTTGTTTTCATTCAAGTTGTTTTTAGTTAAGAAACTGGTCATGAACTTAAATCCGTTCATAGTCAAAGATGATAAGTGAAACAAATAAAGAAGTTGTAATAAAATAAGGTCCTGCATATTCACAAACACAGAGTGTGTAGAAGATAGAAGTACGCACAGCTGTATAAACATAGTTATAAGTATATCAGTAGTATTTTTTGTATACTTACATTACGACCATCTAGTGTCCGCCTTCCATTGTTTACTTCACATTACAGAAATATTATCAGCTTTATACGAATATTACAAAGTTTTTTTTTCTAATATGAATGTTTTAATGTTAGATAGACTAGAGGGATACCATCCGCTCTATACGATATTATAACCCGTATTCCTTATCTTCTAGATCCCCTACAACTAACCTATTACAGATACATGCATGTACATTAGAAAAACCCTTCTTGTAACTATAATGTACCTGTAGTTTTACCACTGTGTCATGTCAAACGTTGCAATATTCGATCTTTTCTATTTGTTTTGTATAATTTCTATTTGTACATGTACGGGGGGTTATCATAAAGTTCGTGGACTGATGCGATAAAATTAATACTATGTAGTCTGTGCTTACAAAATTTGTAAGGAACATAAATCAACAAAAGTTTAAGAAAAGTTGAAAATTTTAGCTTGATATGTTAATTTGCCAAATTATTCGAAAATAAAAAAAGACATGATCACCCGGCGCTGTCGCCGTTTAGTTTCATGACGTCCGACAACCTCATTGTTTCTCAATCCCCGCTCTCTCTACCTCGTACACTTATCTTGATGAGATTACCTGGAGTTAAGTATGACTTAAGCCCGTCTTGTTTATACGACTTTACAAGGTCATGCATGACTGACTATTGACACCCTGACTACAAATCGACATTTACTGTGCATCTTTCATCTCTCTAAATCATTCTGGGTATTTAAAACAAGCACTCTGGATGTATTTTATTCTTCTGTAGCCCATTTAAACATTCCCTAGGTCTATACCAGTTTTTTCAGGTGCGAAACTTAATAGAATGTTAGGGAAAAAAACCTCCCCCTTTTTGACGTCATTTCCAAAACCTTAATTGTTTGGAACTCCATATAATATTTACGATAAAATTTCATAGAACATACAGAATGTTGTAAAAATTGCAAATTTTACAAAACAATTATGTCTTACCACATGTCGGAATTAACGGGATTTTTTGATGACAAATGCTCATATGAAAAGAATTTTTCTCATTTATACTCAGGTAGAAAAGGCGACATATTTGAGGTTGCACCGCCTGGACATACCATTGCTCATAAAAACATTGATAATTTATTAAAAAATAAAACTTATGATTTATGGATTATTCTATAGATAGAAAAGATGATGCTAACTAAATGTGTTAAAATTCATTGATGTACATGTACCTAAAGCGGTTTTAATTTTAAGGCGCTATTCCACGAACTTTTTAATAACCCCTCGTACTCTTTAATTTTCCATTTGTTTTGTATAAAATTTCATTTGTATTGTATAATTTTTATTTGTACTCTTTAATTTTCCATTTGTATTGTATAATTTTGCATTTCTTTTGTATAATTTGACATTTGTATTGTATAATTTTTTTTATTTTTATTTGTATTGTATAATTTTTCATTTGGATTTATAACATTTATTTGTGTTCTATATTTTCCATTTGTAATTGTAAAATAAAAATCATATATATTGTATAATTTTCTATTTGTAATCTGTATTTTCCATTTGCATTGTCCAATTTATTATCTGTATTGTATAATTTTATTATTTGTATGCGATAATTTTTATTTGTATTGTATCTGAGAGATTGTTTATTTATTTCGTTACGAAGGATTTCGTTGTTCATTTTTTTTTTTTTGGTAGTATAGTGTTCAAAACAAACGACGTGTTTCGGGTGCCAAACGCAAAATGGGCTCCTCTAATTGTTGCATGCTAAGAGATGGTCATTTAATTCTCGGGGGGGGGGGGGGAGTTCCTGGCAAATCCGTTTCTTGGAAGGGGGTGGGGTGGGGTGTTAGGTACCACTAGTCAAGATCAAATTATTTATTTTCTAAGTCATCATTTCTAAGGGCATATTATTAATTTGCCATAGGCCAGATCTCCCATTTCAGAATCAAATGGCCGTCTACTCTAATACACATAGGAAACCAGTTTGCTTTGAGCACTCGGAACACCTTGCTCGTTTTCGACACAATATCAGCTAAAACTTGACTTATGAGATCCTTCCTAACGAAACAAATACTCAGTAAGCAATTCTCGGATACAATACAAATGAAAAATTATCGCATACAAATAAGAAATTTTACAATACAAATAAGAAATTATACATTCAAATGGAAAGTATAGAATGCAAATAAAACATTATACAATTCAAATTTTTTTTTTTTACAATACAAATGTAAAATTATAGAATGCAAATAAAAATTATAGAATACAAATGGAAAATTACAGAATACAAATGGAAAATTATAGAATACAAATAAAAATTTTACAATTCAAATTGAAAATATCAAATAATGAAACGTTTGACATGACATACCATACTGAAAAGAGTTTACACAGAAACTTTGCCACAGGTCAGCATTTTATATCATACAAGAAAATGTAGTCTTTTATCATAGCAATAATATTTAAAATAAAACTAAATCAATGCCCCCCCCCCCCCTACGCACATTGTGGACATACCCTGACCCAATAAATCATTGTTTGAGTATAATTAATTTTAAAAAATTACTTACACTAAATAAGGATGCTTTACATCGATTCTAATTTGACAACTTATACATGTAGCCCTGTAGTCGTGAAACGTCCTTTATAGATTTTAAATATCAATAATTTTACAAAATTTTATTTTAAATAATTTTAAGTACATGAATTATTTCCCCGCAACTCAAAGAAATACACTAACTTTTTGTTATTTTTTAATGTAGATCTTAAGAAACATTACATTTTACGTCGTGCAGCGCATGGACGTACCATATGTTGAAGAGAATTTCATATTTTCTGATATTTTTTTTTTTAAATTCATTTATTTTTATTTATCATATTAATAATACTTATTTTACAATTGATAGTTGAATCATAGTGAAAATTATCTTGAAATACGATACGACATTTAGGGTGCGTATCATTACCGCTAAATTTTCAAAATTGTCATTACCGTTACACACTCATTACCGCTACAAAAAAAGGTTACATTACCGCTACATTTAAAAGAATACATCACCGCTACATTGCCTCTTTCGTTAGCCTGCTGATTATGCATGTACAGATTGATTTAAAGTATAACATATATAGATGTACATGCATAGGACCTGTTTTCCCTGCTCACCGCTGGGAGGGGAAGGTAAGACTTTGATCAGAATGTTTCTGGTTTTTATGCCCCCGTATCAAAGATTTGGGGGTATATAGTTTTTACCTTGTCCGTCCGTCTGTCTGTCTGTCTGTTTATCTTTTTGACCGCAAAAACTTTAACATTGCTCATAACTTTTGATTGGTTTGAGCTATAGCTTTCATATTTCACATGTGTATTCCTTGTGACAAGACCCTTCTTTGGGTACCATTATATTTGACCTTTTGACCTTGACCTTGGAGTTTGACCCAATTTTACAAAATTTTACCCAACTTTAACCTTGGCCATAACTTTTGAACAATTGGTGCTAGGGCTTTCATACTTCAGATGTGTAATCCTTGTGACAAGACCTTCCATTGAATACCAACAACTTTGATCTTTTGACCTAGGAGTTTGACCTACTTTTGAAAAACTTTAACCTTGGCCATAACTTTTGAACGGTTGGTGCTAGGGCTTTCATACTTCACATGTGTAATCCTTGTGACAAGACTTTCCTTTGGATACGAACAACTTTGACCCTTTGACCGTGGAGGTTGACCTACTTTTGGAAAACTTAACCTTGGTCATTACTTTTGAACGATTGGTGCTTCGGCTTTCATATTTCATCTGTGTATTTCTTGGGAGAAGGCCTTTCCTTGGGCACCATTAATTTGGACGATTTCACCTTGACCTTGATGTTTGACATACTTTTGAAAAAACTTTAACCTTTTCCATATCTATTCAATGGTTGCTGCTAGAGCTTTCATATTTCACAGGTTTATTCCTCAAGACATGACCTTACTTTGGGTACCAACATATTTGATTTGCTTTTGAGAAAGTTTAACCTTTGCTGTAAGTTGCCATACGGGGGCATCAGTGTTTCACAAACACATCTTGTTTTCAATTTTTATTTAAAATCTATTTCATTTAATAAAACATTTCAGAAAGTAACTAACGTGAATATAGATAAAAATGCCAGGCGTAGTAAATATTTTATTTCAAAGATTCTTTCAAGTTAAATTTTCACGGCAAATTATAATTCATGGAAGGCCTTGAAAAAAATCACTCTTGTTGAAAAAAATACAATCATTAAATTCAAAATTATTCTGATCAAACTCTACAATACATATAGCTTGAAAAAACATGTATTATGAAATAAAGCAATTCTTCTATCGGTTTACTAAAGCTTCCGTTAAGTTGAGTAAGGCAGGGTTGCGTCATGTCAAGCTTAAATTTATCAGGAGACTGAGGAGGCCCATGCACCGCAGTGAGTCTCCATTCTCTGCCTCATTCATCATCAACAGTAATATTGCCGAATTTAGACTCAGTTTGGTTCTCTCAGTTAAGTAATACATTATTGTATATTTATTTAAAAAAAAAAAACAAATGGTAATACTCTTCCTTTTTTTAATCAGATAATTGACTAGCAAAATAAAGCTACACTTACAGTCTAACAGAAATCGTCATGATTAACACAGTGAAAAAGTGTGAAGCATGTGAAATTGAACATCACTAATCTATCATTTCAATAAACTGATCAACGGTCCTCAAATATAGGCTCTGAGTTACCTCTTCATTTGTATTTGTTTTAAGGCCTTTAATTTGGTGGAAAACAGTTTCCCCTACATCAAATACATCGTTTTTAGCTCTACTGGTTAGAGACTAGAGGAGCTTATGCGATAGTAAGGTGTCCATCGTCCGTCTGTCTGTCTGTCTGTCCGTCTGTCTTTCTGTCTGTCTGTAAACAATTTTTCAAAATGCTACTCCTCCTACAGTTTTGGTCTGATTTCAATATAACTTGACACACAAGTAGACTACACTAAGATACATAATTTAGTGCATCGGTTTTTGATTTCAATGAACAGTGTTGCCATGGTTACTAAAAATAGAAATTTCTGTGAAATTCCTTTAAAACGCTACTCCTCCTACAGTTTTTGTCTGATTTTAATATAACTTGGCACACAAGTGGACTTCACTTTGATACATAATTTAGTGCATCGTTTTTTGATTTCGATGAACGGTGTTGCCAAGGTTACAAAAAATAGAAATTTCTGTGAAATTCCTTAT